CACAATATTAAGTACTTGTGTATATAAATATATCTAAATGTAGAAAAGATTCAATGAAATGTAGTATCATATTCTTATGGGACAACCTTCTACATGTGGTCCATTGATCAACATGTTATCTTGTGGCACTTGATTGTAAATAGTGCTAGGATAAAAGTAGAATTTAAGAGCATATGTCTGGAGATTTAAAGACCCCTTTGTCTCCAAAAAAAAAATAAATATAGATATATAATAATAAAAGGAAAAAATGATATTGAGTCTGTAATCTCAGCACTTTGGGAGGCCAATGTAGGCAGATCACTTGAGGCAAGGAGTTCGAGAGAATTCACCTACCACAAAATTCAACTTTTAAGGTACACATTTTGGTCATTTTATTTTATTTTTGAGACGGAGTTTTGCTCTCTGGTCCAGGCTGGAGTGCAGTGGTGTGATCTCCACTCACTGCAACCTCTGCCTCCTGGGTTCAAGCAATTCTCCTGCCCCAGCCTCCCAAGTAGCTAGAATTACAGACAGCTGCCACCATGCCTGGCTAATTTTTGCATTTTTAGTAGAGACAGTTTCACCATGTTGTCCAGGCTGGTCTCGAACTCCTGACCTCAGGTGATCTGCCCGCCTCAGCCTCCCAAAGTGTTGGGATTACAGGCATGAGTCACCATGCCCGGCCTCAGTCATTTTAATATATTCACAGAATTGTGAATTATCACCACAATCAATTGTAGAAAATTTTTATTATTCTGAAAAGACCCCATGCCATGAACAGTCACTCCCCATTTCCCCCTTCCCCTAGTCCCTGGCAGCCACTACTCTCTGCTTGGACAGATTTGCTTATTCTGGACATTTCCTGTAAATGGAATCATACTCCAGGTGGCATTTTTGCATCTGGCTTCTTTCACTAATCATAGTATCTCAAGTTTCATCCATGCTGTAGCCTGCGTCAGTGCTTCATTCCTTTTTCCGGCTGAATAACATTCCATTGCATGGTATACCACGTTCTGTTGATCCAGTCAATCAATGGACATTTGGGCTGTTTCCACTTTTTGGTTATTAAAAATAGTGACGCTGTGAACTTCTGTGTCCAAGTTTTAGTGTGACCGTATGTCATTATCTTTCTGGGGTATGTGTCAGGAGTCCCCAAGACACCACCCCTGGCTTCAGTGATGCACTAGGAAGACTCACAGGACTCACAGCCCATAGTCCTCGTCATGGCAGTGATTTATTACAGTGAATGTAATAAAGTTACAGAGCAAAATTAGCAAAGGAAACAGTGGCTGGAGACCAGTCCAGAGGAAACCAGGTGCAGGCTTCCAAGAGTTCTCTCCCAGTGAAGATGTATAAGGTGTTATCTACCAGGGAAGCTCTTTAGAGACTCAGTGCCTAGGGTAGGCACCCCCTTCCTAACAAGTACCAACATTCCAGACTCCAGAAGGAAAGTAGCCTTTTAGCATAAGCCACATCCTACAAGCAGTCCAGACACAGGAAACCACCTTTATCAGTTAGAGACTGATAGGTTCCTAGACACCAGCTGAGGACCAACCTCACAAACAGGCCTTTCTGTGGACAGATGTCTAAGACCTGCTGCGTGAACTTCTCTGCCCAGCTACGTACCTAGAATTAGAATTGCTAGGTAATATGGTAACTCCATTATTTAACTTTTTTTTTTGCCAAACTCTTTTCCAGAGTGGCCGTGCCATTTTCATCCTGACCTGCTATGTATAAGGGTTCTGATTTCAGCATATCCTGGCCAGCGCTTTTCATCATCCGTCTTTTTTAGTGTGGCTGTTCTAGTGGGACTAATAGGTTTTTAAGTTAGTGATTTGCAAGCTTTTAGGATAAAAAATGATGACCCATAGGAGCCAAAATGTGTTTTCTAAGAACAGTCATGCCAGTCTAACCCCTTATTTTCCTTTAAAAAAAGCAATTTATTTTTTCTGTACTAGGGCAGAGTGTTTTTATATTTCAGCCCTGTCTTGCACAATATCTTGGTGTACAAAAATGGAGAATCAGGGGTTGTACTGATCGCTTGGCAGATTTCTTACTTCCTGATGAATGCCATCAAAGAAAAAAGAAAATAAAAAAGAACAGAACTGGGTCCAGGAGAGAGACTCCTGAGGCTGTCTCCCCAACTCAGTCCTCAGCTGGCTCTTGATGTTTCTGTTCAAAACCTGGGGGTAGATGCAGATAGCAGTCCCATCAGGTCTGCAGATGACCCAAAGCAGGCAGACACACATGTTGAATAAGATCTGGTTCTGGAAAGGTTGGGTCTGGAACCACAGAGATCTTTACAGCATGGAATGATAGGCAGAGTCTAAGGAGATGGAAGTTACTAGGGACAAATGGCAAGTCCACACCTACGCAACCTGGCACAGAGGTGACCAGAGCGAGTTTGCATTTCTGTTTCTGCGCACTTCCAAAAGAATAGCCAGCCACAACAAGTAAGTGACAGAAGCATGGGGCACCTGGAAGAACGCAATGTCGTGTGGGTGTGCAGTTGCAGAGGGCTCAGTAGATAAGCACAGTTCAAGAGCTGACTCCCCGTGGCTGAAGGTCTGTCGTGTGGAAGCAGGAAGAACGGTCTCCCCTGTGGCTCATGAGGGAAAACATTTCAATTAATTAAAAAAGAACTTTGTGAAATTCCACAATCGAATGGGCTGCCTGGTAAGGTGGAGAGCAGCCCGTCACTGAGAGTATTCAAAGAGATACTACTATTAAGGAACTTCCCTGGGGCAGAAGGAAGCCCGGGTGACTTTTGAGGTCTTAGAACATCCATAACGTCGGGAACTGTCCATCTCTAAAGTCCAGGTATTGCCCACGGCACATGTCACCAGTTTCAGAGTGAAAACATCAGCCTTTCTGTGGGTCACCCTTTCTTGCGCTCCTCACAGTCCTACCTGTCCATCAGAACTCTTGTTCACCTGTCCATGAAGCTTCCCTTGAGACACACGCTTGCCCCCTTCTGAGCACCTGTTGCCTAGCAGCCCCTCCTCTCTGGCTTGTTTGCCTGTTACATGTCTTGCCTGTGAACCATGTGGTCCATGTTGAGTCTTCCAACCGTGTGCTAAGCTCCAGAGCCAATTCAGCAAATACTTAACGAGCACCTTCTGTATGCCAGTTCCTGGATGCATTATGGGGCATGTAACAGTGAAGGGGGAGGGGTTCTGACCAAATAGTTGCAGGTGTGAAAGCTTGACTGCAGGCCACCGTGGGTCTGCATCAGGAATGTGGGATGGTGTCTGACTTTGGGCTGCAGAAGTGCGCTTTCAGCTGGGACCTGAAGGAAGATGGGCAGTTGCCAGGGGGCCAAAGGGTAGGGGCTGGGAATGCATTCCCACCATGGCTACTGCCCAGATACAGGACAGGACACCTGGTAGGTGCTTGCTTAGGGTGTGTTAGGAAGAGAGAAGGACCACCTGGCTAGGAGGCTGTCCAGTCCGTCCCCTGTCCCCTGCTCACCCAGCATCTACACTGGGCCACCCGCGGCCTGAGTTGGGAGGCATGCGTGCATTTAAGGAACGAAAGCATGAAGAGGCAGCTCTGATTGCCGTGTGAATCCAGTCCCCAGTGATGCTGGGATGTTTTGTGCCTTCATGCCCTCCCTTGGTGTGGATGACTGTGAAAACGGGCCACATTCCAAACCTCATATTCTTGCAGTGACAGCTTCTTTGAGACCACGTAGATACCTGGGATTCTAGTAATTACTCCTGAACACCCACTTCTCTGTCTCTAGGTAGGGGGAACTTTCAGAGTAGGGTGCGGCTCCCCTCGGAACTCTCCTCCTCCTTTTTTGCTGTCATTTATGCTTTTTAACAGCCTGCTGTTCTACCCAAACTACCCCCCAGCCACCTGCCCTCTCTCCCTTCACACCGACTTAATAGAGCCCTCAGATAAGAGAGACTAAGGGAGGAGGCCATTCTCTCTCAAGCACTCATGCCTGGCAATTATTTGTTGTTATTGCCAATTCAAGATAAGTAGAAAATAACAGAGGAATGGAACCAGGACTCAAAGCCCGTGCCAAGCGCTTCGCTGTGTTACCATGACGTTTGAATGTGCATCACATGGGAAGCCACATGTTCGACCAAGCGTGGGGGTGGGTGTTTGCTGCCCTGGGAGTTGAATGAGCTGGATTCCAGCCTGGCTGCTGTGCTACCCTGACCACTTCTCATCTCTGGGCCTCAGTTTCATCATCTGTGAAATGGGGCATTGGTGCAGATTGTTCTGCCATTTCCCAGAGAGTCCAGGCCATGCACCTGTCTGATCTGCCTGCCCTCCTGGTCTGTGTGTTTGGGCTGCAGCAGTGAGAGCAGCTGCTTACTGTCTCGGTGGGCCAGGAAGAGATGTCTTCTAAGTGCAGGCACCTGGAGTGGCTGAGCATGGAGAATGCAGGTGGTGATATCCTAGAAAGGGGTGTGGCGATGGGAAATACAGGCTGGGAAAGCAAATGGATGCAGGACAGATCTGGAAGCGAGGTGAGCGATACAAACAATAGAACAGATTGGTGCTTCTCAGATGTGGCCCGTGGACCAGCAGCAGCACGTGGGAACTTGACAGAAAGGCAGATTGTTGGACCCCACCCCACCTGCTGAATCAGAAACTCAGGGTGGGGCCCAACAATCTGTTTTTGTTGTTGTTGTTGTTGTTTGTTTGTTTTTTTGAGACGGAGTCTTGTTCTTTCGCCAGGCTGGAGTGTAGTGGCACGATCTTGGCTCACTGCAACCTCCATCTCCCAGATTCAAGCGGTTCCCCTGCCTCAGCCTCCTGAGTAGCTGGGACTACAGGTGTGCGCCACCACACCCGGCTAATTTTTTTATATTTTAGTAGAGACAGGGTTTCACCATGGCCAGGATGGTCTCGATATCCTAACCTCATGATCTGACTGCCTCTTGGCCTCCCAAAGTGCTGGGATGACAGGCGTGAGCCACCGAGCCTGACCGAACAATCTGTTTTAACAAGCCCCCCGGTGATTCTGTTGCAAGCTAACATTTGAGAGCTAAGAGACTGGATGGAAGGAGGGGTAGATAGATGAGACTTAGAGAACCAGTATTTTAAAGGTCAAGGAGGAAATAGAACTAGTGTTTGTCAATCACTTGCTGTGTCTGGTCAGAAACTGGGCATTCCCACTACATTGTTTCATTTAAACCCATCAGGGTGGTGGCAAAGCAGGCCTTGTCTCTTGCTAAAGCAGATCTTAGCTGATACAACTGACTTCATGCCAGTCACAGAGATAGCGCCAGAGGTATGATTAGAACCCAGGCATATCTGGCCTGGGAGCCTGAGTACTTCCTAGCACACCAGGCTGCCTCCGCATCCACCTGCGCCTCAGTTCTACTGCCGCTGCGGGCCCCTGGCTGCTCCTCTGCTACACGGGTCACCCCAGAACTCAGCTGGGCTGTGCTCCCTCTGCAGCCTGCCATGTCAAGGGAAAAAGTGGCACACCATAAAGGCAAGTGAGGGAGACCTTGGGGGCCACAGCGCAGGGTTGAGGATGGACTGTCACCTTGCATCTGCTTCAGCCTGGAGGTCTTGGGGAAGCTGGGGAGCAAGGTGCTGGTGTGATGCTCCCAAGGGCTGATATAGCTGCCTCCCCTAGTAAGAATTCATGCATACATGGGTGACAGTCCACAGGTGTCCATTGATGCCTACCTGTGCCAGGCCCTGTGCTGGTTGCTGTGGGAGAACTGAGACAAGGCAAGTGTTGTTTGTAGCTTCAAGTTTATGGTCCAGAGCCAGAGGAACAAGAAGTTAACAGGAGTGAGCTGCAGTGCATGGGAGGCTGGGAGTTCAAAGGACTTGTATGGTGATTTTAGGGGACAAAACCAAGGCTTTGGGAACAGACCTAGGACTTTGGAGCCAGAGGGTATGGCTCACTTCCCAACATTCTCACTGACTCACTGAGTGAGCTTGGGCAAGTTACCTCATGTCTACGACCTGTCTCCTTAGCTATAAAGTGGGGTAACAATACCTAGCTCAGGGGGATTGTTCTATTAGATTATAGCAAGCACTCATTTTCCTTCCCTTCAGAAGATTACTTTAAGCCAGAACAAAACAGAGAAGGCTTCCTGGAAGAGGTAACTTTTCGCTTTGGCACTGAAGGATGTCTAGAATTTAGTGCTTTTTCTGTCTTCTCTAAGAAATCTGTGGGTAGGCCCTAGACATGTGGCATTTTCTAAGAAGAATGACCTTCCCGGCAGCTATAACTGTACAAATAAAATCATGTTGAGAGGAAGTCACCTTCTTCAATTTGGAAAATTTGGAAGATGTCTTTTTAGATGTAGTTTAACATCCTGTTGCAAAGGGCAAAGCCAGGCGGCCAGTACACACTGCCAGGAATCGTCACACTGAGATTTCTCTCTATGCTGCTTTTTCTTGCAGATGATGCAGTTTGCCTGGCAGAGCTATAAGCGTTATGCAATGGGGAAAAACGAACTCCGTCCACTAACAAAAGACGGCTACGAGGGTAACATGTTTGGTGAGTCGATTCAAAACGCTTTGCTATCGGAGGGACCCACTGTCCCCTTGGTGGCTGAGTGGAATTTTACTTTTGGCTTTTCACCTCCTCAGTCGTGGGGGCTCCACAGTTCTCCAGATCTGGGGCCTTCCAAGTCTGTTTCTTCTGGACCTTGCAGGCTTCTGAGTCCTCCTAGATTTGGGGGGAATCCCATATGCTTCTCTCTAGCCTTACAGACTGCTTTGTATAAAATTGTCATTTATTTTTTAGAGTGAAGAAACTTGGAAATGGGAGTAGGGATAGTGAGGGATGGCGATTTGTTTCCATGGAGGTTTGGAGACCTAAAGGACACAGAGGACCAGGTTTAAATCTACTCCTCTGGAGTGTGGCTGTGAAATGGTCTTGGATGTTTTCGTAGATTGCTGGACACATTATCTGATGGGGCTGAGTACATGCTTTTTAGAGTCATTGGGGGCCGGGCATGGTGGCTTGCACCTGTAGTCCCAGTCACTTGGGAGGTTGAGATGGGAGGATCCCTTGAGCCTAGGAGTTCAAGTCCAGCCTGGGCCACATATTGAGATGCCATCTCAAAACGACAATAGCAACAAAAACAAAAGGGTATAGAGTCATGGGGGTGTGTCTCTCACAAGCTACTCGGTGGACAGTGGAGCAGCCACCCGTCAGGAGCAGTGGCGTGGGTCCTGCTGCTCCTGGCAGTTTGCTGTGTTTTATCTGCAGCTCCGCTTGCTGGTGTCTTTGTCCTCACCCAGCCACGGGATTCTCCTAACCCGGAGCCTCGAGAGCCTCGCTCTGTGGCTCAGAGGGACTGCCAGGTGCTTTCTTGTGGGCATGGCCTCCGATTCCAACAGGAACACCCATGCAGGTTGCCAGCCCCCTGGTCTGCAGCCTGGCCTCCATCTCCCCTGAGGAACAGGAGTGGTGTGGGCTGGAGAGGGGCAGTCCCGAACCTAGATTCTTCACCCCTTACGGATACAGGCTTCTGAAGTCAGGAACCAAATAACTGAGTCTGAGATGGAAATTCCCAGGAAAATCTTAAAGGCAAATTTGCAAGGGATATCCCCCCAGCACCCACATTGTGTGCGGCCCTATCAAAGGTCCATGTTATGGAAAAAGTGGCAGGAATCTGCCCTCTTCCTCTTCACCATCAGACCGTCTCCTGTCTGGTTGTTCAGACATTTCACTCCTCTTGAGGGAAGTGGGGCGTGGATTGGGATAGCTTTATGTCTTTATTTTTTTCATTATTTTAGGAGTATATGGGGGAAAAGAAAAGTGTCAAAAAAAGTGCAAATCAGGAAAAAAAAAATCTGTTCTGCTATGTAGATGCAGCCTCCATTGACATCTTTGCCTATATCCTCTCAATCTTCTTTCTGCTTTTTTTTCCCTTTTATATACCATTTTATGTCTTCTCTACTCTGTTTTTTTTCTTTTTGGCTTCACGTTACATTGTGTTTCTCGAAGCATCTAAATGTTTTCATAAAGAATGTTTTAATGGTTTCTGTGATTGTATTGATATACCATAATTCATTTAACCATCCCGCTAATGTTAGACAAAGATTGTTTCCAATTTTTTTGCTATTAAAAATAATGTATGAGTTATCTTTGTGCATAAAATTTTGTCTCAGGATAGATTTTTAGAGATGAATTTCTGAGTCAAATGGGAGGAAGAGAGATATTTCTTTTAACTTCAAATCAAATATGAGTTAAAGAGATGTGTTGATTCCCATTAGGAACCTGGCTGTCTTACCTGCCTAGAACACAGAGTTTCCCCAAATATCCTACATCACCTGGGGAAAGATTGCTGGTGCAAATCACATCAAAGTTGTTGGAGCTTTTGCTATTAGTGTAAACACGGAAGGACGTTATCAAGAAAGCTTCCTCCTTCTCTCTAAACACAGTTTGCAGATATTCAGGGCATTGGTGGTGGGGTGGGAGGGGCTGTTGATTTCTGAAACTGCACACTGCATGGGCTCAGCTATTGCTCAGACCGTCACGGGAAACACTTCCGGGAGGGATTCCATTTTGTAAAATTCCTCAGGGCCTGGGATTTAAATCTCAACCCCCTGGCCCCTTTCCAGTCACCGAGCTTGGAGGCACATGCTTGAGCCATCTGGAATGGTGGAAAGAACCTGGAGTTAGAATCAGATGACCTGGGTGCAAGTCCTCACTCTGTCCCGAGCTGTGTGGCCAAGTCCAAGGCACTTAACCTCTCTGGGCACCTGTTCGTTCATCATTCATACTGGGACTGCTAGAAGGATATAAATGAATGTGTGAACAAGCAAAGGGCCATGTCTACATGAGTGATTTATGATTTCCGTTGTAATAAATGAGGTTGGCAGTTGTCCCAGTGAGCCCATGGCAGGCGCTGAGCTCCCTTGGGTTGTCTATCTCAGGAGCAGCCTTGGCAGGCCCCAGGGAGCCCTGTCACCCAGTACCTGTAGCATTCCTGGCATTAAGGCAGAGCCTTCCCTCTGCAGCCAGCAGACAAGCCGCAGTGGATGGCTGGCACCTGGGAAAGGGAGATGCTTAGGTGGGGACCCGGCGCTGGGTGGGGAGAGCTGGTCTTGATTGACTCCTTCACTCTATATATGGCTTGTTAGGTGCCAGCGCCTGCTGCTGACTGCTAGGGATACAGGGATAAATGGTACAGCGAAAGTCCTACCAGCTCTGCCGAGACATGCTCTGGCAACCCTTCCTGGAGCCTCTTGGGGGTCTGTTTAGGTGTTCTCAGAGAGAAGGACAAGTGGAGGTGACCAAAAGTGCTGACATGGACAGTCCTTTCGGGCTGGAACTTCCAGCAGACCTGGCTTAAATTCAGACTTTACTGCTTCCTGG